AAGAAAGTAATCAGTCCCAATGCTCGCGCAAAAGTTAATTTCAGGGACAAAGTCGTATCACCGTTCATTCTCTACCTATTTTGAGACCTCTGTAAATATTCGGACTATGTGTTAAATTTTTAATATCGACTAAAATGTTGCATCGCTGGTGCGTTTTGAAGATGCAGCCACCGCAGAAAATTAGCAGTTTCAATTATTTGCAAAACAAATCCATAATATTATAAACTTGTTCAAAACCGCAAATTAATTTGTAGTTGCATTAGGGATAAGCTAAATAAACATTTTTATTCAAGAATTTTTTACGATCTAGAATAAAATAAACTTCAGTCCCTCCTCAAATGAAAATGTATCGTTTTCTGAGGACTGATTTTGAACCGAGGACTGCGATAGAAAACTTCATAAAAGTAGTTGGCGGGATCACAGCGAGGTGGCGCCACGTGCTGTGCGCGGATTATGCAATTTTCAACTTTCTTTTATTAAGAGCAAGATGAATAAAATTTTGTACTATGAATGCAACTGGAACCATATGACTAGTTAAAAAAATTAGACAAAAAGGGATGTCCACACATCTAGATACTCATTTGTTAAAGTGACATCAGGGGGGTTCAGAATCGATATTTCGTTAAAGACTTTTCATTACTGACAAATATTACTGACTGAAGCTCTATAAACAGGCATTTACCGTTATAATGGAGCGTCTTTAATTATTATCGCTGCTTTAGAAATGTAAAATGTTAACTCAGTCAACGAATACACGGGTATCTCTAACTTTGAATTTCCATTTGAAGATTCTAAGCTGTCGCAAAGCTGTCTCAACCAGTTCTACATTTGTTATTTTGCAATTGTTTGGCGCGTGGTATAAATCTGCGTATGCGAAGAGCGTGTGAAATTTTATCATTGTAGAATGATGTTATGCTTAGAAGTTCTTTAATTCACCGCTTGACGACGAGCTTTAAATCTATTTTCAAACAGGAATCTGTCCGCACGTACGAAACGTGTGTAATGGTTAAAAAAAATTATTGCACTGAATTTGTGTTTACGATATAATATTACGTCATGCTTAAGAAACATGTCAAGATAGTTGCATGTTTTTTACTGCACATTTGAACTTTTCTAATTAGTAATAGATGTATGAAAAATTCACTGATCTTTGAAATGGAATTAGTAAATGTATGATAATGCTAAAAAATTTATACATTTATTAGAGATAATTTCTTCATTTGTCTCGTAGAATTTTAGTTTATAATTCTTTCCAATAGAAGTTCTGGTAAACAACGTCTCTGTTATGATAAATCCTAGGGGGCTTTTCTCCCTTGTAGATATGGACATTAAAAGTTATTACTGTAGATATTGGAACTTGGGTCACTTGATGAATATTAAGCAAATATATCCTTTAACCCATCACAGAACAATAACATAAATAAATGGCCATTATATCAGCATTTTTGTCGAATTCGAAAGTTTTATATTTCGATTGAAATATCACATGGAACTAGTAGGATACAAATGCTATGAATTGAGGCAGTTGTAGCTCTGGGTTTCTCCAAAAATACATTTTGGATTTCAGTTCGTGCCGCTCGTACCAAAAAATTAGCTACTGTAGGACAATTCCAATTATTACAAATCGGTAGCTGTACTAATAAGCGACAAGATGTAAGTTTAGGTCAACTATTTATGTATGCAATTAATGACAGTTAATTCAATTCGTTTACGGTGACTTTTTAGCACATTTTCTCATTTATGGAAAAAATTAACTATTATGCTTGTCATGTCCGTCCGTCCGTCTGTCTGTCTGTCCGTCAGTGAACACGTTCTCGTCGACGAGAAAATGCGTTCTCTTTCACTCACTGCAGTGAATACTGAGTTATATTTTTTAATCATGTCACGTGGCATTCAATTTTGTTCATTAACCGGTCAAACTTTAATTCTAAACTACAATGAATTTCCCTTCTACTCGCTTGCTTCGGTACGTCGGCACATAAAAACTCTAGCAATAAGCATTATTTTGTCATGCTTCTGGTATTTGATTAGGTAAGGTTGAGTTCAAGACAGCCTTTTTGAATATAATTAATTTCAATATTGGTCTTTTATTTTATACAGACGTTGAGATTCATTTTAACGACATGATCGAGCAGCATGAATGCATTCATAATAATTATTTCTAAATATTGCATACACTCTCACGCAAATTTATCTCTTCTATTCTAGCTGAGTTTGATTCTATTATTATTCGTGCTTTGTGATTTCGCCTGTTTCACGAAGAACCTTGAAACAGAAAGTCCACGGTAATTAGTTGATAGATTTAAGTAACTCTGGCCTCAGAGAGGAAGTAGTAAATAATCTGCCTGAAAAGATTTACAGAGCATAAAAAATTAATTAAAATAATTTTATGAAAAATATAACTCAGTACTAAGTGCAGTGAGTGACAGAGAGCGCATTTTCCCGTCGACGAAAACGTGAAATCACGGACGGACAGACAGATGGATAGACAGACGGACGGACAGACGGACGGACAGACGGACGGACAGACGGACATGGCGAGCTCAATAGTGCATTTTTTTCATAAATGAGAAAATGCGCTAAAAACGATAAAATGTCAAAAATAATTTCAGCGCGTCAAAAAATTTGCTTGAATATAGAAATAAATAATAATCATATATTGTTGATAGTCTATTTTATTACGACGAATAAGGCAATTCATGACGAGCTTTCATTACATCGTGAACGTATTTTTGAAATATTATTATTAATGACATTGGAAGAATGTTGGCACCGGGTTAATGGGCCAAATTTTACTCACGATTAAAAAAGTTACTTGGCTGCTAAAGACACTTACAGCCAATATTTTTTTAATCACTGTAAAGAAATTTACAGTGTTGAAGTTGAGAGGCCCAGAAAATGAAATTATTTTACCAATCTCTTGTGCATCAAAATTTGCGAGTTACAGGTGTTAAACAGTTTAAACTCTCGGAATTCAAATGAAAGATTCATGTTTTTCAGAAAAATTGGTATCCATACTAGATTCCCAATGAAAAGGGATATAAAGAAAACAAAAATCATAGCTTAATTAGTTCCAGCTCCGTACCTTTCGTATAATTACTGTTGCTGTTTTATGTAATCGAATTTTCCGATAAAGGACTAAAATAAAACAGCTTTAGGATCTCTCTATATTCAATGATCGAACAATACTGAAGTGCATCTCTGTCATCGCATACGTGAAAACATGGAACGCACTACTGATATGGATACAGCCACCACTTCCATATCTACTTTTTCAGGAAATTTCAAGAAACTTTGCTTCCTTAGCATACGTATAATTAAAAAAAAGTTGGTACCTTTCTGCAATTGTATTCTGTTGATATGAATAACTCCACTGCTTCCTCCCAGAACACATTGATAAATAATTGTTGATTCGAAAGAACTGTAATGGTTGCATTTTCATCTATTTTGGGCTTCAAGTTCTCTTCTAATTACCAATATGCAACAACTGATATAGAATGCTGTTAACTTAAGCAATTCCACTTAACGATGCAGTGCAACTAGTCATAATATTAGATTTCTCTCAAATTAATTGTGAACAGTTCACACTACTCGTATCTCCAGTTATTATATGTAAATAAATTAAGTATCTTTAGTTATTATAACTGTTGAATTTGTGTGAATTTACTTAAATTTCTGCGAGTTATGATTGCGTTTACAGTTGGTAATTAGAAAAATTATTTTTCAACTTGATATTTCAATAAACTGGGACAGAAATAAATAGGTGTAAGATACATCCAATCCATACAAATTTCAATACAGCGTGTTACCGCCAATTCATTTCTCTTCGAAAAGATTGGAGAAAATATCGAATACTTCATTGAATATTAATAATTTCGATTTTCTTACATAATTATCCTGTTGATCGCACGTAGACGTTCCAAATTTTCTCAATATTCAAGGTAATTTACGTAATTTCAAGCGTCGAGAGGTGGCAAAAATTATGACCAAATTTTCACTGCCCATGTCAAACAACCCATCGAAGTAATTATTAAAGCAACATATGTGCATTCTTGCTTTCGATTAAAGTTTTCCCGTATTTCCTACATCGATAAAACATCAATCGGTTCACATTATCCCGTAATTCATCATATATTATGTATTCTCGGGGATTTGTACAGAGCTGTTCTAACAGCCAATATCGCTTACAATAATCTCATACATATACAGACAGGACAGACTAGCTATTTATACAACGAATAGCGAATTTTCCACTGATATTTACAGGAGTGAAACACAACAAAAATCGAAACAAAACTGATCGTGTCACAAGCAAAGTTAATGATTTTTTTAAGAAAATTGTACAGTTGGTTGAAATTTCCGCAATAAATTCTATTAATTAATTACTGTTAAGAAACAAGATATAAATGAAAAAAAATGCTGTTCTTATGTTAGTAAATGCGTAACATTTGGAGCTAAAAAATGCAGGGCCTCTCTTCTTTCCTACAATGGGTAAAAACATTACTTCAATCATTACTGAATGTTCGCGCTTATGTTTACTTTCGTCAGTCAATAAGATTAAAAATTAGCAAATTAGAACAGAAATTCATGACGTATGAAAGTTACCAAATGTTTGCCGGAAACGTGGAAACTGTTCACCCGTAAACAAGTCGACAATTTGTATTTGTGATATTTTAATTCGGAATAAATAAGCACAAATAAAATGCATACAGTCATATGAACAGTTTAAGAGCTTAAATTTGAACAAATACCTACAGCACCATCGGATCTAATACACACAGGTTCGTTAAGGGGTCTATTCACTAATAATATTAGGTGTGCACTGCCGCAGTTTAGAAAGCTTAAATGCAGATAGATCGAATGGTCAAAATAATTACTGGATTATGAAGGCAAATGAAAAAAAATTAACAATGTGGTTTTTCTTTTTACAAATGAAACCATTTAAGAAATTGTTTCAAGGTTGANTAGCCAATGCAAATGGTTTTTGATGGTAGCAATGAAAATGGTTTTTGAAGATAGCCAATGAAAATAGTTTTTGATGGTAGCCAATGAAAATGGTTTTTCGATGGTGCAAATCAAAATCCCAAAAGGTCTGCACAAGGAAGCTAATAACACTGAGAGGCTATATATTGATTTTTCATTGAAGTTATACCAATGATAAAAAGAAATAGTCTCTTGTTTTACCAAATTAGGAGTATAGTTCAAAAATATAGTAAGCGCTTAAATATTTTCAGATTTAGGTGGCGTCGATGATGCAGATCTGTACATTCTTTCACATTTTTTCCGATAATAATTTTGCTAGGGTGTTTATGCAAATCAATAAAGTAATTTAGCAAAATTATTCGGTTGGCAGCTCCCAAGGTTTCTCAGATGGAAAGTCCGCATATACATTTCTTTGCCCATTTCCCCAGGAAAATGCGTTAGCTAAGCTGATAATATTCAGGCGCAAAATCATTAGCTAGATTTGAAAGGAAATTAAAGTCTGAAGAATTGCTGTTCTCGCTGGGCACGTTTGGGGGTGAGTTTGAATTTGCACCACTAACTGTACCATTAATAATATTACTTGAGTTGGTACCAGTGTTACTACCTATACCACTCGGGTTACCCGAAGGAGGCTGAGTTGTGGGGCTGGCCACGATGCTTGCACAATTACCTCCATTATTACCTACAACGCATCCTGTTCCGCCAGAGATGGTATTTACACAATTGTTTCTTGTAGGTATCATGTTAACTGATGACGGTATCACTGAAGATTCCGGAACTAACGCTGTGTTTGGCCCAATAATTACACCTCCAGTGATAACGCCAGGCCCTGTAACACCTGGATTAACGCCCACAACGTTTGTTGCAACTACTCCAGGGTTCGCACCAGCAGGCAAAGTTGAAACGGTAGAATTAGCGCCAGTTCCATTAGGTCCTCCTCCTTGCTCGAAGAAATTAAAGCTTGCGAAATTGATATCGGATTCGTGTTGCATGGGCATGTTGGCGTGGTAGTCATGGTAGCTGGAGAGGTCTTGTCCGCACTGGGCACCAGGAGAACAACCATAGTATGGGTTCATGCTCGCCTGCGGGACTCCTTGAGCATGCGGCTGAACTGAGGTACCGTTTTGTGGTAGGCTTCCTGGACTGCCAACCATACCCGCTTTTTCTGGATCGTACCCTTGAGACAACGCGTACTGCTGCTGGTCGTAATACTGTTGCGCGTCCGAACAATTATTGTACACGTTGCCGCAATACATTCCGTTTGGGTAAGTGTAATTATACCCTTCCGGACACATCAGATTGTTATTATAGTACTGTCTGTTGTAATTATACTCCTCCATAGAGTAGAAACTATTGCTGTACATCTGCTGATGTTGCTGCGGTTGTTGCTGAACGCTGGTGCCCCTGCCCTGCTGATGAGGCTGCATGGTGGAATAGTCGTAATTGTTAGGCGTACCATGGCGCGGTGACCCCGCAGACGCCATATATTGCGGAGGGGTTCCTCTTGTGGTCCATTTCTGCTCGGAATTTCCCCAGGTGTTTCTGTAGCCCATGCTTGATGCACTGTAGCCTCTGCCCAGAGGGCTGTCGACCGTGTAAGAAGCTGTGTAACTTACGTTTCGTTGAGAACCTCTGCCTATATTAGGGGGAGCATTATTGTAACACGGTGCCCGAGAATTGGATGAAACTGATTGGGGATTTGGAGTGCGTTGGTTCGGTCTAGAGGAAGCTGGGGAGGTGGACGCGGACGAGGGAGCAGCCGGGGATGAGGCTGGGGGAGGTGGAGGAAGAGGGGAACTGCGAGGACTAAGGTTCTCTTTCATAGACGCCGTCTCCAAAGAAAACGGACCTGAAATCTGCGCCAGCCTTAGGTTCCCTTCCTCAGCTTTCACGTTGAGTGACTCCAAGGAAGAGCTGCAAGGGGCGCTGCTGGGAGGAGTGTTTAACACCCCGGGGACACCTAGGGACCCAGGCCCCGTGAGGGAAAGAATAGCCCCATTTGTGAGCAGGTTTGGGGTCATAGAGGATGTGGTATTCATGCTGTCATTGCTCTCCTCTTTCTTCACGTCTGACGAGCACATGCTGTCCGGAGAAGAGGGAGAAGACTTCGAGTTGTTGTTGTTGTTATTTGAAGAATCTTCGGATCGTCGAGTGATGTCACCAGAGTTCTTCTTGTCTGGTCCGTCGTCTGGTTTCGTCAGAACTTGCCGCTTGTGCTTCATACGGCGATTTTGGAACCAGACTTTAACCTGTGAATAAAATTTGACTTAGCACGCAACTCTCTACACTTAAGTGTTATTATCAAAAGAAAAAACTTCAAGAAACAGTACTGAGTTTCAACTCAACTATAACTGCTTCATTCCCTGAAAATAACAGCTTCTGAATTATTTTTATGCATTAATAAACTGCGGACATTGTTGTAGGCATGGTTGAATAGTATTAATTCAACCATGGTTGTAGGTATAAAATTCGAGCTCCTCCACAAATAACAATCTTATCTTCCATCATATGGCATGCTTGACTTACAGTTAATGTCTTTGAAATATTGCAAGTCATTAAAACAGTTTTAACTGCATGGAAAAATTACTCACAGTCGTAGAAAATTTTCGGTACAAAAGTGTACCGAAAAGCAGTTCTAGAAAATTCTCGGTACAAAAGTGTACGGATGTATTGAAGCATCTATGTAGAGAAAAGGCATCAGAACCTTTAATTTAAAGCAAGCATCTATGTAGAGAAATTCGAATAGAGATAAACATCTTGGTGAATCGATTATATTGTACAAACATTATATATTCTGAATACATGAATAAATTTTCCAAGTTGCATCGCAATGTGAACCTGTCTCTCGGTGAGGTCGAGCGACGCGGCGATCTCTATCCTGCGTGGCCGGCACAAGTATTTGTTGAAGTGAAACTCCTTCTCGAGCTCAAGCAGCTGCGTGTTGGTGTAGGCTGTACGCAGGCGTCGGGGCAGACCGTTCTCGGAAGATCCTGCACAAATAAAGTGTTACGTTGATATTTGTAGGAATACTTAAATTCATTTGAGCAAAATTATAAATAATTGCAGGAATACCTGAATTCATTTGAGCAAAATCAACCAAATAAACAATCTCCTGCCAAGGCAAGCCCAACCGCTTTAGAAAGATCCTGCGCAAATAATGCTTTACGTTGATAATAGCAGGAATACTTGAATTCAATTGAGCAAAATCATCTAAATAACCAATCTCCTGCCAAACAAGCCAATCCGTTTTCTAAAGATCCTGCGTATACATAATGACGCTTATAACTGCATTAAGCCTCATCTTTTACCAAGCTTTTCCTTCTAACATTCAACATTTGCGAAGACGCATTACGTTCATAATTGTAAGAATACTTGAATTCATTTCAGCAAAATTATCCATATATTCAATATCCTGCCGAGGCAAGCCAAGCCGTTTTGGAAGATCCTGCGCAAATTATGAAGCACGTTGATGAATGTAGGAATAATTAAATTAATTTAATTAAGAACTATAATCTGAGTACCCCGGCTCTTGCCGAGATAAGCCGTTATCGAAAGATGCGGTGCAAATATATAAGGAGTCACGTTAACGCATTTTATTATTTATTGAATTCAATTGAGAAGTATAATCATAGTCCATTCTTAGCAGACAGTGAATTAAGTGGGCAAATTTAAGAATAATTTACTGGTAGATTATAGATTATAGACCAGACTGAAAAACTATCATTGGAAAATCAAAAGATTTATATATATTTATTTCGTTCTAATCTTACATTGGTAATGAAATTTTCCGCACAAGCGAATTTTTTTAACCAATTTTTCACTGTGCTATCGTTATTACTCATTCATCATACCTTAATCATGTATAACCGTAAGATACCATACAGTATAAGTTTTTCAATTAAAACAACGTGGCTCGTGTTATGCCCATAAATTCCCGAATTCAAACCCGTTATGTTGAATGTTAGCACAAAACGTAACGTTTTGCATCAAACGTAATCATCCGCACGCCCTTAAATTCGAGGTCGCGGCCTATTAGGCAGTTTCCATTCCCTCGATAATGTGTAAGTTTTTATATGAATCACATTACTCACAAATTTTTGTAATAGTAAAATGGAAAGAACTCGGCATTAATCTGATTTTGAAATACGGTCTATTTGGTAAACTAATTTTGTATTGTTTTTATTGTATTTGTATTAAATAATTCGCAACTATCTGGTTTAATTATTTCATATATTAAGATCATCTTCCATTGTGATTCGCGAATTAGCGCTAGTGAAAAAAAGCAAACCATGTATCACTGAACTAATATGCATCTAGGATCAGGATCCATCAGGATGCATCAGGATTCTTTGAATTTTATAGTGTACCGCAGGCAGTTTGTAATAAAATTGGAAAATTAAGTAAAAAGTAGAACAAATTAATTGAAAACTAGCGAGGATTCACTGAGAAATAATATTACTTGATAATAATGTAGTTCGTACTATAAATGAAAAATTAAAAAAATTCATTGAAAACTATACAGAGGATTTAGTGAGAAATAATATTACTTGATAATAATTGAGTTCGTACTTACTGCTAGAGTACTGACGCTGCGAGGGAACGCCTGGTGACACATCTGTCAGGAATATAGAATGAACAATGAGATACTTTGTTTTTTCTTGATCGATACATCAATTAAAATTGAGTTAAATTAATTAAAGAATTGATTGAAAAACCGAAGTAAAAAAAGTTAAACCGTATTCTTTAATTGGAAAAAACCATATTGAATACTCGACGGGAAGATGCGGTCAAATTTTAAATGAATTAAAAGATTACTGATAGATTTATATCTGAATAACCTGAATAATAACTAAAAATAGCATTGTCCTTTATATATATTTTTTTATAACGCAGAGCGTGATGCATCAAAAACTATAGCTTGGTCGTTTCCTCTAAAAAAAGTATGAATACCTCCTATAAAATTTCTTTGATGAAAGCGAAATGACCAAAAAATTTCATTGTAAATCAGGCACGATAAAAGAATTTGGACATTAAATAGCAAAAAGTTACTATTGAAATCCAAATATGTTACACTAACACTGATAAACTGATAAAATTCATTCACCACAGTCATTCGCAAGAAAGGGAGTCGAAGTTTTATGTCTTAAGTTAGGGTCTTGTCGCCCAATCAAAGAATGTTTTATGAACTGAGAAGGTCTCAAAAACTTATAACATCTCCTGCTTTAGCGAACGTTCTTACGCCCTCGATAAGTGGCTCGTAAAACCATGTTCCGAAGTTCATCCTGATCGGACAGGAAGCAGAGCAGCAGCGGCGACAGAATATCCCCATAGAAACACTATTTCTTTTTGCACGCGGAAAAAGTCAAATTTCCAGGATGAAATTTTTCGTTTCATGAAGTACATCGCCACGTAGATCCAGTTTTCTAAAATATTAATCATTTATAGTAAAGTAGCTTTAAGAGGCAATATGAAGTGGCAAATTTGGATTGACTTTAGTGCTTTAATCTTCTTATTCAATAAAGAAACCTTGAAGGGATATAGTACCATATTCATATTTGTCTATGTCCACAGATCTATCTAGAATTTTTTTATGCAATGCTGAATATGAATAAGGACAATCTTGCAGAAGCTATCAAAATCACTTGGAAAATTACCTTAAACACTAAAACAAATTTCTATTGCCACGTGACTTTCAACCTTAAATTAAAATAAGTTGGAGCGGCTAAAATTCTTCGCTGAATTTTGCAGGCAGATGAAGTTGAGGTAATTTATTTTGTCACGTGGCATTAAATTTTTATTTTAAAAGAATATGTTACGTGGAAAAAGTGTCACAGAATTTTGCAGGCAGATGTAGTTGATGTTATTTTTTCATGTAGCCCTCAGAATTTACATTAAAATAAAATGTTACGTGGAATAAGTGTCGTATAATTGTGCAGGAAGATGTAGTTGATGGTATTTTTTTCATGTAGCCCTCAAACTATATATTAAAATAATATGCAGCGTGGAAAAAGTTACGCAGAATTTTGCAGTCAGACGTAATTGATGTTTTTTTCACGTTGCCTTCAAACTTAACATTAAAATAATATGTTACGTGGAAAAAGTGTCGCAGAATTTTGCAGGCAGATGTAGTTGAGCGACGCCCGCCGAGCGATAGAGCGCGAACAATCAAAACTCGACCAGAGGCGCGACCTGCGCTGCGTATCACCCATAAACGCTGACTTTAGTGGTGTTCCCTCAAGTCTCAACTGTTTTACGATCAGACTCTCTGTCAAAAATGAATAACTTATCAAGTGCTCCGTATGGGGTGAGCAGAGGCTGCTTGCCAAACACACGAGCAAGATCGTCGTCGTCGGCTCGTGTGTTCGAAATTTGCCACGAAAATTGTCCCTTTTTTTCTTTAAGGAGGAACAAAGTTTGATAAATCTGTTGCAAAATTTAAATCTACTGATTTCAGGTTAAGCAATGTAACTTGTTGGAGTAATTTGGTAAATAAATATCGTTTGAAAAGGTAAATTTAATAATTATCCAACAAAAATTGTTCGATTATAGGAGGTTGTTTAATATACGATTTGAGAAATCAACTTTTGAGCAATCGTTTTCAGCTTAACCGGAGAAGAAAAATTATCTTTCAAAAATCTATAGGGAAATTCCGTTAAACTTGTATGCCTTAAAATTCATGGAATCACGTATCACTTTATCGGTGACATAAAGCAAAAAGAAACATAATGACGCTTCTACTGTAATTGTATTAAACAACATCTGTGATGTTCCTTACAATGAACCACTTTTTTACGACCAATTTCGATATATGCCACAAGCGCGTTTTTTGTTTGTCAAAAACTTACAGTTTGTAAAAGTCGAAGAAAACTTTGATTCTAGAATTCAGGAAACTGGAAGCTAGATGTTAACCTGTACGACATAGAAAATAATTTTGCAGCTACATTTTCCCACACCTTGCGAAAAACTAGTTTTTAGATAATCATACATGGATAACGTGTCGCGCTTAGCAGCATTATGAATACTCGTTTGAAAAGCTATAAACATGTTTTCAATTACTTTTTCTTTATTCACATAGGAGTACACAGCACGTAACAAATTAACAAAAGGATCAGAAAAGTGACTAAAAGATATTCTAGTGATTGCCCATAGAAGCCAAACAGCTTCCGCGGGTGACAATTGGACAGGCGAAAAAGGCGGTACAAGATTCTATTAATTGATAATGAGATAATGACAAGAAAATAAGCATAATGTCAACAAATTCATACTATTATACTAGCTACCCAAAAAAAAAAACTTCAGACAGTAGGTCACTGAAAAAGTAAGCTTAATACGTGTAGCACTAATAAAACCTATATAATAAACATAAAATTAAGTTTGGGTAAGAATAAAATTATGGAATTTTGTTTTTAAAAGGAATTTGGAATAATCTTTTTTAAAACACATTTTTACCTGTCTCGAACATTCAAACAAACAAGCATAATATAAGATCAAAAATAGGTAGGAAGTGTAATAATATCCGTTATTTATCACATGGATAGCGTTCCTAAGCATATATAGCCTTAGGTATACTTTTTGTATGTTCATATATGTTATAAAATCTCTCATGCCATGTGGGAGTTCAAATTCATGACAGGCTTGTCAGTTGAGCAAATTTTTGTATTACAAAGGTGTGATCCAAAGGCATTTGATGTAGAGAGTGGTATATATGTGAATAGATAGTTCATAAGAGAAAATAGTGTATGTCAATCGAAAGGTGTTGGTAAAGGGGGAGCAATAAGAAAAAATATAACTCAGTACTCACTGCAGTGAGTGACAGAGAGCGCATTTTCTCGTCGACGAAAACTTGAGGTCACGGACGGACGGACAGACGGACGGACGGACAGACAGACGGGCATGGCGAGCACAAAAGTGCATTTTTTTCCATAAATGAGAAAATGCGCTAAATAGGGAGGTTTATATTTAATGCATGGTTTGCGAACAAAATATTCGATGTAACGAAACCGGGGTTCACANTGTGCAGTGAATTGCTCGCACTGTGCAGTGAATTGCTCGCACTGTGCAGTGAATAGCTCGCACTATGCAGTGAATTGCTCGCACTGTGCAGTGAATTGTTCGCACTGGGCAGTGATGAGTAATGAATCTACATTTCTAAGTTCAAAAAAATGTTACAAAATTTATCCAAGCTTTAGTTGATTTTCATGCACTGTTACCATGAAAGTGCTATTATAGCTAATCATTATTTTGTTTACTACACTGCGTTTTTTTTTGCAAATTTTTCCTTTTTTTTTGCAAATTTTTCCATTTTTAATGTTATTGTCTTTTATTAAAGTTATAAAGAGAATGAGAAATTATTCTATTTATAATGTTAGTAATTATATGCAATAAAGAAAATGATAGGTAACAATACGAAAGTGAATGAATAATAAGTCCCTTGCTTCTTTAAATGAGCTTTTCACTGAACTTTTTCACTTATTTCAAACAGAGCAGACTTCGTAGAAACAGCAGTTCCAAGTAGCAAGACACAATCCTCATTGAAATATTCTGTCTCAAGTTCAATAACGCTTCATGTGCGCTCTTTTTCGTGCTCCTGTGTAATATTGTATACAAATTGGCCGTTTTTGATGCTAAACCTTGAATCGTTCATGGTGCGTGAACTTAAACAACTTACGGTATATTTTTCGCTTGTAATGAGCGGTAATTGTTTGAGTTCATGTGCTGCATTACCGTGTTGTTTTTATATCTTTATTCTTAAAAAGAAACCAAGGATTCATAAAAAAATAAGTACATTAATTCTTGTGATTTGCTGGCTCTTGAGTTAGACTATTAAACTTTTTCATGCAGAATAGAACCAAGTTCGAGGCTTGCGTTCTAAATTTATTTTAGATTTATTTGTCTTTAGCTTGGTCTGTAATATTTTTTTGTTTATGGGGAAAAAATATTATCACATGTTGTTTATGGAAAAATAATACCTCTTGATATTTATGGCAAAATATTATTAATTGAAAAATATAGGCAAAAGGGTGGTTCCGTTGGACATCTCTAGTGATAATTCTCTCGAAAGTATTTATTCAAATCGTGATAAATTACTAGAATCTGGCATTCATCAATATATTTTACAGGAGTTGCCTAATATATACGTGAATATTATATTATAATAGCTCCTAGCCTAAAGAGTAGCACTGGCCGCAATAAAAACTTCAAATTTTGCACCCTTGCAGATAAATAAATTGTTGAGCTTATTCGATTGCAAAAATCTGAGATTTAATGTATGGCAATCTCAATTTTTTAATTATAATTAATTTAATAAGTTTAAATTTGTGAACAATTAATTACTAATTTTACAAGCAATAATAAAATTTTAATTGTAATATTTAGGTTGTTATTTATTTTTAAGTAATTCGTCAAAACATCTAAAATGCTCAGAAATAAAAAAAAATAGTTTAATGTAAATCATAACTTCGCGCTTATAGAAGGCTGTGATGATTGTATAGGCAACATATGTTTGGATTTTTGACCCAAACTCTGAACGCGAGTTTCAAAGTCGAAGTTCGGAAGCAATGTTCTGTGTTTATCGTGTAGCTTGTGCGCAACATAAGCGGTTGGCAATGCGAATAA